GTCTGTCCTGTCTGAGCAGCAAGGAACAACAAACTGCACACAAATAAGTCAGTAAAACGGATGTACACGCTAAACTCAGGTCCTGGCACAAAGCCAAAGTCCGCATGAACGAAGAAGCAGGATTTTCCGATGATGATTACAGAAGGTGAACAAAGAAGAAGAAGAAGAAGAAGAGAAGGAGAAAAAGAAACTAAACTCAGGTAACACTGAGGGGGAAAAAACGGGAAAACAAAAATCATGACTAAAAACGGTCATAAAATTTATTAAAGAGCGGCAGATGAAATAGTTATGCCATCTGGCGGGAAGGCACCATATACCATAGAGTCTAATGAAATATACTGGCTACTGTGCTTGTAAATATATCTAGGCAACCGTTGAAATCACAGCATCCAGAACAGCCTTCGAGATAAGAAACTCAAGTTTTACCACTGATTAAAAAGACAGATTATCCTTAGTTTTTCTTTAGTACATCGCTGATATAATAGAAGAAGACACGGAGGATGAGGAAGAAGAAGAAGAAGAAGAAGAAGAAGAAGAAGAAGAAGAAGAAGAAGAAGAAGAAGAAAAAGAAGAAGAAGGAGAAGAAGAAGATGATGAAGAAGAAGAAAAAAGAAGTGAGTGATGCCGATTGCAACTAAACGAGAACAACAAAGAAAACGAAGAAAGAGAGAAAGAAAGGAATCCGATTTTTATGATATAAAGTTTAAAAAAGACATCCCAAAAATGCAACTCGGAAAAGAAATTAACGAAACAAAGTCATGATATAACGATAAAAGGAACGGAAGAATTCAGCGGCACCACAGGCTATCTCTTAGGAGAAGTCAGTACCGACCCAGAAAACACAAAGATGCAAGCATTCTTGATGGGACACCCAATACCGCTGTAGAAGAAAGTGTGAATTTCTCTCTGTATCTTGCCAGTTTCATCACCGTGTCAGAGGTTACAACTGCGATCCCAGAATCCGTGTAAGCCTCAGATGCAACGAGGGCAATTAGAAGCCTTGTTTATATTTCTTTATTTGGCGTGTGTTTAGAAACGGAGCTGTTTACCGTAGGGCAGTGATATCTAGAGGTGGTTGTTTGATCTGACTGAGGGAGATGGAATAAAGAAGGGATGGGTTTGAGTTCCGGCGGGGGAAGCAAGATAAGATCAGGGGCGCCGGACCCCGGGCCTAAGGGTCACTTTGAGCTCCTTCGTAAAATACTGGTTGGAGGCCCCCCTCCGCTTCTCTACCCATTGCAATACACACACCCTTAATGTTTTTTTTTTTCTAGATGGCTAAGACTTCGCCTCCCTCTAAAGAAAATTCGCAAGGGGATTTAATATTTCTCCTCTCCCGCCCCAATCATTTATAGACGTTCCCGTTTTAAGTACTTATTGATACATATAATAATATTTCATATAAAGAGTTATATTTTGTCGCCACTACCCGCATAATAATATTGGTGCTGTTCACGGTAACCATGACGTTGACCTTTCATTCATAGCTTCTTGGACTGTTCTGGGTCACAGGGGTGTGCGAGTCTATTCCGAGGGACATCTGTCTGTGTCGAGCAAACTGCGACTCGACATATTGAAAGTTAGCCTAGCTGGCTGTGATAGTTTACCCCTCCCCCCACCCTCTTCACCCGCAACATGGCACATCGCCGGTGGTGTTCCCAAAATAATCTAGAATTAGCTCACCCCATTATGCTCCAGAACAGTGCAGTGCTTTATGAATTAAACGGCTCGCAGTGCGTAATCTAATTTAAACGTCACGGTTACCGTGAACAGCACCGAATATCTACGCACTTAGTCGATACTCTTTGATCCTGGAGAGTCAGATAGATTGCCAGACCTCTCTGTATTCTCTTTTTGGCTTTGTTCCATTCCATTACTCTGTCAGTAGGGGAGACTGCCGGATGTTGTCTTCCCAGCTAACTCTGGGTGATTCTGGAAGTCTAGTTCCCTTGGTTTCTGGTATCCCATGCCTGCACAGTAACAGCAATAATAATAATAATAATAATAACAATAATAACAATTTGTATTACCTGCTAAAGCAGCTTAAACCCCTTGAGGTTCCCTAACTCTAAAAAATTACAAGGGAAAGAACACGGCCAACTTTAGCAATCCCTCTAGTTGGCATTGCGGTGTCCGTGGCTTAGGGTTGCGAGTCCGTCTCTTAAGTCCAGCATACCATGATCGAAACCCACCGCTTGCTGTATGCATTTTTATCAGGGTATGGGGCGTTGCAATTCGACCCAGTCTAAAATGGGTACTAGCATGGATGTCCTGGGGAAGTAAAGACGGTCGGTGTAATGCTGACCACATTACCCGCCTAGAGTCGAAGGGGCCTGTAAAAATATGTGGTGCTTTTCCCATGTGCCCGATGCACCCAAAGAGTTAAAAGGGATCTTTAGTTATCTAGTAGACAGTGGGCTAAACTAACCCTCCCGCCCCTCCCCGGCCCACTTTTCCTCCGACCACTAATTGATTTTTGTGTGTGTTGCGACGCCCCTGGATAAGATGGGAAAGTTGTTCGGGTTCTGGGGGAAAAAAAACTTTTTACAGGATTACGTGCCGTTCAACAAAAGCTTGCAGCTCAGTGAGTAGATGAACTCTCTCATCTCGTGCGGGTTGCCAGACCATAGGGGTGGGTGGGGGGTGGGTGGTTAAGAGGAGAATAGACCTAGCCCCTCCTAACAAGTATGTCGTATAAGACGACTCATAAGGGTATTCTCCTTTGAATTCGGGGTGTATCTGCCTGAGAAGCAAAGAACCAACAGTCTGAACACAAATAAGCCAGATCTTCAAAAGGGATGTTCATGCAAAAGTCAAGTTCTGGAACAAACCCAAAGTCCAGAAGTAGACAGACAACCGCAACTTTCCACCAGAGTTTACAGCCAGTGAACAGAAAGAGAAAAAGAAGAAGTAGAATGAAGGGATCGAACCCGGCATCCCGGCATTACGAAGCGCGCTCGCATTTATCCACTTTATTTTAACACTATAACCTCAGTTGAAAAAAGCTAGCTGAGTATCCTTTACAGGACGTTGCAAAACCAACCCAACCATTTGTTGGCTGTTGTGGTTGGCATTGCTTTCAGGTTGGTCAGATTATCGATACCACGGTCGAAACCACCGCAGCTCTGATCGAACCCGGCAAACCGGCATTGCGAAGCGCGTTCGCAACCTCAGTACCTGTTGCAATAATTACCATATCGTCTTGTACGATTGTCGGTTCAGAGCAGCAGAAGTCCGAGGACTAGGAGTCATTACCCAGGTCGGCACCGGTCCCCTTGCCCGACGAGATTGTCTGGGGGGTAAATTTTGGCTGGATTGGCTTTTTACCCCACCAGGACATCACACAAGCGATAAACACCCGATGACACAAAGTGCCACCATGCGGATGAGGATCACCGTGGAGAGGTCCCAGAAACCGCGTTCAGACATTTGGCCATAATGATGACCTGTCTATATTGCAGCCCCTGGCAAAAGCCAGAGTGGGGCTTCAAATAACAAAAAATAACATCCTAAGAAGGACGTGTACGACGTTTGTAGGGTAAATTTTATACTGGTCTCCCCATTTATACACCGCTACACACTAGCTCGCTTCGGATTGGACAGCCTACATACCACCTTACTTCTGATATGTCGGCCTCAAGCGATCCGACTTTCACACAAGGTCACGGGGATATTCAGCACTCGCGCTGAGACCGCCAGTTGTATATTTTACCTTGCCAGAGCTTTTAATACTTTTAAAACATATAAATACTGTGTCTAACAACCCCCCCCCCCCCCCCGAGAGTGACAAAACCTATGTCACATTCCGTCTCTTTCTTGGAAATAAAAACGTAAATGCAAGTAAATAACAGACTGCGACAATCATTACCTCGACCACGGTAGACTAGTCCAGCCAACTTATCAACGGAGTTGACCTACAACCGGTGTGTGTAAACGGGGAGACCATCTTATAAATACACTTTGGGGAGGTCAACCGGCCGAGACAATTGTTGAAAGGGGTACCCACCTACTGAAGATCAGCAGACTCCTGCTGCGCATGCTCCGCTGTGGAGTTCTTTTTATATAACCAGTGTTGCCACTTTTTGGGGACAAAAAACATCCAAAACGGAGTAAAAGAATATATATAAAAACATCTAAATTTGAGTAGAAAACATCTAGAAAAAACATCCAAATGGAAAGAGTCACAAATTACATGGCAATTGATATGACTTACCCTATAGAATCACGGCGTCATCTTTACTGAAGTCTGCCTTACAAGATCCACAGGATAAACTTAGCTTGGTTGATGAAGTTAAAGCTTCAGATCCAAAATGACTTTGGTATGCTTTAGCTGTTCCAATTTCTTTCAATACCTAATCATGGAGCTGATAAGTGGAATAGCCTTTTCCTACTCTAATCAGGCCGAATTTATTTTATTGTCAAGATAGCATTTAAGATGTCAAATTTCATCCTGTTTCTTAGGTTAGATTTGATAAATTCACTCTAAATGAAAAAGATATAGAAAAACATCTACTATCTAAACGTCAAAAATGCCATCTAAATGTGTTGGCTCCGCCCCATTTCCGTCCCCGCCCGCGCGTTGGAGATATATAGTCTAGTAGCTGACCGTCATTTTCTTGATCGAAGTTTTTTCGCTAGGGACACAGATAAGTATCATTTATTTTTAACATTAGAGTCCTATGTAGTGACTTCATAGTTTGAGCATATTTGTGTATGTGTACTGTGTTGTCCTTTATGTGCTGATGAAGGCTAATCTCGCAATGTCCTTTGTTTATTTATTGTGATCGATTTTGTAAAGCTAACATAAAATATTGGTTGTTTCTTACCAACTTTTTCTCTTCCCTATAATTTTCTACTCCTTTTTAAAAACATCTAAATGCAAAGAAAAACATCTGAATCTGGATGTAAAACATCCAAAGTGGCAACACTGTATATAACTCTTTCCCGCTTGACTGTTAACTGTAACTCTCCATCCACTTTATTTCAGGGCGTTAGCGCAGATGTCGTCGCTAGCGCATGTCAGTGACGAGGAGAACTGTGAGACGCTGGCGGGGTTGGTGAAGCGGCAGCGTCGACTGTGCAGGCGGAACGTGGAGCTGATGGACAGCGTTCGAGTCGGTGCCATGATGGCCATAGAAGAATGCCAGTCGCAGTTCAAGTATAGGCGCTGGAACTGTTCCACGGAGAGCAGTTCGAAACTTTTCGGCAACGTCATTCTCAAGCAAGGTAACATAACATAACATAACATAACATAACATAACATAACATAACAAAACACACAACCCTTGACCCGTTAGGATCGTGGAGGTGAGACGATAGAAGCACTAGCATTCAAAACCTGCAATCTTTCCCTATCTTCCGCTTATTGCACAAGTCTATAGTAATTCAGTTCTGTCCATTGTTTGATGTTGTCTTTCCGAGTTCATGTTTGATCGTCTCTTCTTCGACATGTCACACTACGTCACTGAACCAAGCTTAGCTTGCAAAATTCTAATACTGCCATACGAAGTTCCTGATGTCCTGCAAATTTGTTAATTTGTCCCTCACATATTTGTCATTTTGTGTGTGTGTGTGTGCTGTAAATAGCTAATTCAAAGAATTCGTCTATAGCATTTATGTTCGAAGGCAGCTTTCGTGGCTTAGGAGTTGCGAGTCCGACTCGTAATTCTAACGTACTGCGATCGAAACCCACTGCCGGCTGTGTGGATTTTTATCATGGTATGGAGCGCCTAAAATGGGTACCAGGATGGCTGTCCTGGGGAAGTAAAGACGGCCGGTTTAATGCTGACCACATTACCCACCGAGTGCTGATGGTCTGAAAAAATATGGGCGCTCTTCCCATATACCCGATGCGCCTAAAGGCGTGTAAAGGGATCTTTACTTTATTTAATTTGGATAGCCCGAATCCTCCCATACAACTCACTCCCACAAGGTGAGAGAGTAGTCAAAATGGCAGACGAAAAGATATAAAGAAAGGCTAACTGAAACGCACGGAGACAGACAGACAGACAGACTAGGGTGTAGGCAGGTAGCTAGACTGGCTAATAGACAAATAGAGAGACATACCGGCAGAGAGACAAGCAGGTTTAAGGACAGACAAACCAACAGACTGTAGCTCAACATGTACCATCCTTGCTGTCACCTCAACCGTGTGGGTGCTGGGGTCTCATTGAGGGGAAAACAAGAGTAGACCCACTGCCTCTCCAACAAGCATGTCGTAGGAGCCGACTAATTAAGAAGCAAGGAATCAAGAGTCCGCATAAAAGTAAGCCATATATGTGAACCGAATATGCAGGGAACGCTCAATTATGAAACAAGACCAAAGTCAAAAGATGGACTAACCTAAATTTGTCAGTCGTAGTTTACAGTTGGCGAAAGGGTAGAAGAAGAAGAAGAAGAAGAAGAAGAAGAAGAAGAAGAAGAAGAAGAAGAAGAAGAAGAAGAAGAAGAAGAAGAAGAAGAAGAAGAAGAAGAAGAAGAAGAAGAAGAAGAAGAAGAAGAAGAAGAAGAAGAAGAAGAAGAAGTAGTAGAAGAAGAGGAAATAGAAGAAGAAGAAGAAGAAGAAGAAGAAGAAGAAGAAGAAGAAGAAGAAGAAGAAGAAGAAGAAGAAGAAGAAGAAGAAGAAGAAGAAGAAGAAGAAGATGATGAAGAAGAAGAAGAAGATGATGAAGAAGAAGAAGAAGAAGCAGAAGAAGAAGAGGTAAAAGAAGAAGAAAAAAAAAAGAAGAAGAAGAAATAATAATAATAATAATAATAATAATAATAATAATAATAATAATAATAAGAAGAAGAAGAAGAAGAAGAAGAAGAAATATAATATTAATAATAATAATAATAATAATAATAATAATAATAATAATAATAATAATAATAATAATAATAATAATAATAATAATAATAATAATAATAAGAAGAAGAAGAAGAAGAAGAAGAAGAAGAAGAAGAAGAAATAGAAATAGAAAAAGAAGAAGAAGAAGAAGAAGAAGAAGAAGAAGAAGAAGAAGAAGAAGAAGAAGAAGAAGAAGAAGAAGAAGAAGAAGAAGAAGAAGAAGAAGAAGAAGAAGAAGAAGAAGAAGAAGTTACTTCAACTCATTTAGTCACATACATTTTTAGTATTACTTTTAATGATTCTTTAATAAACAAACCAGAGACAGACAGATAGACAGGCAGGATGCAAACATAAAAACCGAACCTTCACAGTTCGTGGCTACTACCGAAGCACCCTCCCCCACCCCCCCCCCCCCCCCCCGGGGCTACGACCTTCGCTGACGATTCCACTATCTCCACCGCCATAAAAATGGGTACATTTGTTCCGGGACAAGCAGGCGTCGATGGAAATGAAAGAGCTGACAGGTTGGCTGGATCCGCTATCACTACCGACGGTCAGCCTATGGATCATGCTGATATTATCAATGCCCTCAGAGAAATGGGAAGAATAGAGGACTTTGGTGGCAGTGAATCCACATCACTCGCCAGAATGGCAGACTTAGGAATTAAGATCGGTACAGCAAAAAACGAGACGCACACCAGACGACTTGTTAATCAACATAGAACTGGTACTATTAGCCATCGGACGTTGGGGTTCATACTGAGGGGAGGATCTGAGCACCTATGGACATGTCCGGAGTGCAATGAGGATAACCCAACTAACTAACTAACTAACATTTCTTTTCTGCTTTCTGTTTCTTTGTCTACTACCCTAGTGCTTACGCCATGATGTGTCGAGTTGTGTGTAGTTTCCTGTCCCTTGGTAGTTGTACCGCTCATGGTAATGGATACACTGACTGACTGACTTTCTACCCCACCAAGACATCACACCAGCGATAAACACCCGATGACACAATGTGCCACCATATGGATGAGGATAACCGTGGAGAGATCCCAGAAACCACGTTCAGCCATTAGGACATGTTTATGGCCTGGCTACATTGCGGCCCCCGGCAAGAGCCAGGGTGGGGCTCCAAATAACGAAAAATTTCATCCTCAAAAGGACGGTGAAATTCAAAGGTATAATGGACACACTGCGTCCATATGGTAGTCATGTCTATCCACAACCTTCTGTTTCTTGTACTTTCAATTAGTTCTTAAACTAGTTATCTTCCATGCCATGATGCCACAATGCCCAACAAATTATCTCTCGGTCTCCCTCTGCCTCTTCAACCATACAACCCCTGGTCAAAATGTACTCAAACTGTTGTCTTCTAATGACCTTACCAAAGAATGTAGAGTAAATGATAACTAGGTTAGTTGCGTATCCTTTACAGGACTTTGCAGAACCAACCCCAGCCGCCCCTGGCTGTTGTGTGGTTTCTCAAAGCAAACTTATGTCTAGCAGTTTGCCATTGCCTCTGGACTTAGCCACAGAGCCGACAAATGGTAACTATAGACAGCAAATAGAGTCGCACAAACTCGAAAACAAATTGCCTAAATTCATTTCTTCCAAAATTAAGAAGCAACTTTCCGGCTGTCACCAGTAAATGAAATAGATGGAAGCTGTAACAGAAATAGCCTCGTGGCCGTCAAGTCATACCAAATCTAGGACCTGCAATTTTGAGCAGAGACTCGACCATGCATCATCGGAAGGATGTAGCGGAACCTCAACTATTGGAATGGTGTGGTGGAAACAACCAGTCTAGAACAGCGGTTCTCAACATGTGGGTCACGACCCTTTGTGGGGAGGGGGGGGGGAATGACCATTTCATATTCAGATGGGTCCGCACAAAGTGCAGTTAGAAATGGTGGTGCTGGAGTGTACATAGAACTCTCAGATGGTACTAGGGATAAGTCCAGCGTACCAAACGAAAAGTACTGCCATAACTATGATGCAGAAACTCAGGCTATCAAGATAGCAACAGAGAAACTGTTAAATACCAATCTTGACTCACAGTATGTGGTAATGCTGACAGATGCTAAATTCGTACTTGAAGCACTCCAGTCTAGGAAGCTACCAGAATTGCAAACACTGCTGACACAACTCAGCCTTCATCGAAGAGTCGTAATGCAGTGGATACCGTCTTATTGTGGAGTGCCTGGAAATGAGAAAGCTGATAAACTGGCAGGGGAAGGTGCGACAAAAGTGCAGCCGGATGTACCAGTCACATACCACCAAAAGAAAAGAATCATTAAATCAATCAGGAAACTACCAACCGCAGCACAAGATGACTATTTTATTTTGGACAGACCAGAACAAGTCATTAAACTCCGCCTCAGAACAGGGCACATCCGATTACTTAACCACATGTACACAAAATTCAAGATAGGCGTATCAGCCATGTGCACCTGTGAAAAGGTGCCCCAGACAGCAGAGCATGTACTCCAGGACTACACTAAATTTGACACATTAAGGCAAACCTTTTGGCCAGAAAGAACAACAGTGGAACGTAAACTCTATGGACCACTGAATAAGCTAACAACGACAGTGAAATTTATACAAGAGACAAAACTGCTGATATAGACAACTTATTTCATTCGAACGAAAGAAGAAGAAGATAAGGGTCACCTAAGCATAAGACCATCAGAATACTGGTTGAAGTTATGAAGCACCAACGAAAATAACTGTATGGTTGGTGGTCGCCATAACATGAGGAACTGCATTAAAGAATCACCACAACACCAGAAACTGTTGTAGAAGATCCTAGCAATCAATGTCAGACTTGTTTCCTGACTCACGCTCCTGCCAGTAGACGAAATCGTCACCCCCTGTCAGACTTTTAGGATGCGGGCCTTAATTGTGAACGACAGTTTCATTGGTGACTAGCTAATCGCAAAGCTGCTGGTCAGTTTGTAATGACCGACATAAAACTGCCATGGCAACCGTTGACGTGTGGCGTTGGTTGCTCACAGAAGGTTATCGTAGCTTGCGGCGAATATGCGGTAGGAACTAAGGGGGCGGCGTGGTCTCGAGGCATGGTGTCTGCCTCGAGTGCTAGAGGTTCCGGGTTCAATCCCAGGTAGGGGCTGATAATTTAACACCTGGATTAGGATTTCTAGTATTTTCCTTGGTCTCTGAGTAGTGAGATCAGACGCCCATGTGCACTGTTGCGTACATAAGAAATTAGAGGATCCTCGCCGATGCTACAGAGCCTGTGCACTGTGCTGTGCTTTTTTGGACTCGGACTTGAATTAGAAGAAGAACGGAGCACTTAGGGTTACTACCGGTGTTCCCTGATGTTGATCCGTTGTTGAAACCTCGAACCTTTCAGGAGGAGCTTCAATCTTTCCCTTTC